GGGGCTCGGCTGGGGGAGATGCCCCCGCGGGGCCGGCCTGGACGCTGCTTTCCCAAGAGCCCGAGGCAAACAAATGTTTGCGCGCTGCCTGGAAAAGCAAAGTCCCCGCGGAGGTGGGCTCAGACCTGGAGCCGCTCCGCCGTCGGAATACCCCTGCCCTGGCGTGCCCGGGGAGAGGACAGGTCCAGAAATAGTGCGCCAGCGGCTCCTTTGTGTTTGAGAAAAAGAAACTTGGATTTTTTGGAAAAAACATTCTGCTGGGACAGTCCGAGTTGGCTTTAAATAGAGGTAAAATGTACTTTGGAAGCTCTATGTCAGCCTGTTAGGGCTGTGCCGGCTGCTCCGAGAGTCAGAAATGCCGTCTCCAAGAGGGTTTGAAAAAGGTCTGCACCTGTTTTGAGGAAATGAAAGTCATATTCTTTTCCTTTCTGTTTTCTGACCCTTGGGGTGAGCCCAGGTCATGCTGACAGCCTTTCATAGCCAACCAGGAAAACAAAGCTGTTACAGAGAGAGGTTTTATAAAGTCTTCCTGTAATTTGAGGAGCTGAGGTTCAAGTCGGCTCCAGTACCTGGAGAAGGATCGAATGTGGTTTCTTACGGATCTGTGTCTTTTGGCTGGCTCTGGGGTCAGAGCGGGGCAGTGCTGGGCAGTGGGTTTTCTTGTGACGGGAGCATTGGGAAGAGCTTTTCACCACGGGTAAGTGGAGAGCTAGGGCAGCAGCCTTGCCTCCAGCTCAGGTGCCTCTGCTCAACTGCCTGGTCTTGTGGGCGTTGTAGGTACTTAGCTTTGCCATCAAATAATCCGTCTGTGAGAGTATGTGGGTCTGGTTCTGTTTCTTGTATGTTTTCTATTGACAACGAGTCTAGGTGTGTGACCCGGCTTTATGCCTGGGTAGAGAGTGGCTTGTTTTAGCTTGGACGGGGGCAGCAGCCCTTCAGGTTAAAGGGCTGACAGGCAGGATCCTGGGAGGGAGCCCTTGGGTTCTCCAGTGCTGTGCTTGGCCGTGGTTTGCTGGGTGGGTTGCTGTAGTTACTCTCGTTTGTTAAGCACGATGACCAATATCCTCAGAATAATGGCTAGATTTTCCCCAAGGAGGACTGCGGGCTCTCAAGCAGTAAGATGGTCAATGATGCCTCTTAATTGAGAAACCATCTCACTGCTTGATAATTCAGACTTGGGGCAGGTTCTGTGAGCATGCCCTGAGCTGCTGTCTCGCACAGTTTGCCTATTGTGTGCATCTGTAATATCAGTTACTGGCAGAGCAGCTGAACAGAAGTAACTCAACTCCTTCATCAGAGGCCAAGTTCGTCTCTATCCTCAAAGGCAGAGCTATGTTGTTTCTTCTCAGTGGCTTTGCCAGAATGCTAAATATGTGTTAGTCCAGTGTATTTAGAAAGGTGTACCTGTCATTACATTTGCAAATAGAGTATGCACAGTAATGAATTCACAGATGGCAATGCAGTCTCCACACCTTAAGTCCCCATATAGATACAGCATTTCTGGTTACACCCTGAAACAGCCCTGTGTATCCACTTCCCTCGGGTAAAGCTTGTGTAAACAACTGGAGTTCCTATTTTGCCCTTGAAGGTCAGTAAATATGGGAGCTGATTTCGGGGAAGCTGATCTCAAAACCCTCCCTGGTGCACACACTTCACAAATGCTAGTTTTCAAAGCACTCACAGTGGTCCCAGGGGAGTGTTGCATATAATAGTGCTCCTTATTGACAATTTGGAGACTGTCTGCTGCATTGATTGTTAGAATTTTGTAAGGTGAGTGTACATTCTTAAATTAATTTTTTTTTTCTTTTCTGAGGTCAGTACAAACTGGCATTAGGATATTAACTAGTGCTGTCAGCCTTACCTTATTCTCCTGTTATAGAACCAGTGCTGATGAAAGGATGCTTTTGTCAGGGTACTCTTTTGGCTTAAAATTCCTCTGTCTGTCATCCAGTCTCTGTGAAGAGGTTGTTACACTGGGTTACGTGTCAAGAAATAAGGGTTACTGGGTTACAAACCAAGAATAAGCCTTATTCAGGCTCACGAGTGAAGAACTTTTCAACAGGTCATTTAAACTCTCTGTAGAGAGATTCCTCTGTAGATCGGTTCCTCCGGTTTGGAATGATATAGTTGTGATCGCCACCTTTTTTCTATGTTTTGAGATCTGAATGGAAGGTACTTGAGGTGTCTTAGCAAAACAGTTGTTTCAATTGTTTGCTCTGTTGCAGATTTCCAAGGAAGTTTCAGGGAAGAGTGTTTAGCAAAGCTAACTTCACATCCCGTTGAGAAAGACAGCTTTTCTGCCTGGCTGCTACTTTGTGACATGTTAAAAAAACCTCCAAAACTCTTTAGAAAAAGAGGCTGAATTGTGTTCCCTGACATATATGGGTGCAGCAAAGAAACGTGAATCCTGAAGGATTGCTGTTTCAAAAAAGTCAAATAGCAGGGAGAGAGAAGAGAAAATTACTAGTTTTCCCAAGGACAGGTGTTGCTTAGTGTTGCAACACCTTGATCCTACTGTCACCTCAGTATTATCAGTATTACGTTCATGACAGCACACAGCTCTGCATGTGTAGCTTTGAGTGCAGAATTGGTGCCTGCATAGCAAAGGGTCAGCTTCCCTCCTATCTGTGCTGCTCATCAGTACAATGGGAAAAATTAGTACTTGTGGGCATGATCTGAAACCTTGGAGAAAAATCAGAAGAATCCCACTGAGCACAGGGGAGCTAAAAATGTACTTGGCGTGAATAGAAAAGGAGTTGGCAAGCACTGTTTCCACTTAGCAAGATATTTGATACCAGCCACTGATCTAGAAGCTTGGGTGGCAATATTAGTTGAAGTGACTGCAGCTTGTCTGGTGTTTGGAAAGGAACTCTCAGCTATTCTGAATATTGACCTCACGAACAGTCTTAATGCCCTTTATTGTTAAAATAGACACAGATCTGCCAAAAACGTTTTCAGTGCTGCACAGAATTTACTATCTACAGTTTGAAGAATAACTGGTTTTTTTCCACTCTGTGATACAGTTGTGTATTGGCCTGGCAAAGACAATGAACTTTGCCTCTAGACATTTACCTCTGAAAGACAAGAAGGGTGGCAGATTAGAATAAATGAGGGAAGGAGAGAGAATTAAAAATAAATGATTCTTATTGTTTGAGACAGCTTCTACGTGGGAAGAAAAAAAAAAGGTCCATGTGGTATTTCTTTGTTTATTTATCTTGTAGTGAACTATTACTGTGGGAGTAGATAATGGTAATGAAATGGCTTCCTTTAAGAAGATCCTGAGTAGATAGACTTTTCAGCTTGGAATGAGATGTCTTCAGGGGAAGTGATAGAAATGCATGAAATCATGAATGCTATAAAGAATGGTTGCTACAAGAAGGGTCAGGTTACATCCTGTGAAACTTTTAGACACTAAATGTAAAGAAAACAAAAGAGCCTACTTTCACACAGTGTAGATGAATGTTTTAATTCACTGCCAAGGGTGCTGTAGGTATCCTAGTAGTTAGGCAGTTCATAGAGGATGGGTCCACAGAGGTGGGTTGTTTGGATCCAGTTTCTGGCCCGGAATCCTTAAACCTGTTATTCCTGGAGACAGGACTACCAGAATGATTTTACGCATGCCCTGTTACTTACATTCTCCCCTTCTGGAAGCTGCTCAGATCAGAGTACTGCTCAGGGGCTGTTCCATAATCTGGTATTCAGTTACTCGCTGACATTCAGTTGAACTCTTGAATACTATTTTGTGGGATTTCCTAAGAAAAATGTTTTTTAGGATTCTTCTCAGGAAGTCTGTAATCTCTGACTGTTGATGTGGTCCTCTTCCAGTTTTGAGTGTTCTCTCTCTAGTACTCGCTATCATTACAGGCTGTCGCAGTTGCACTAGAGACTGTTCTGGGCTGGCTGGCTATGCAGTAATTGCAATGCACACTTTACTGTCTCTGCATAATAAGCTTATTTCTGGAAAGCAAAAGAAATGTTATGGTAGATCATCTGCTGATTCTTTAAGTCATTTTCTAATGTTTTCACTCACAAATAAGGAAACTGTAGGCATGTCTCAGAGCCCGGAGTTACTAGGATGTTGAGTGCCTGCAGGGCTTTGGAGAAAGCCATGGCATCTGGGGTAGGCAAATGCAGGAAGAGGGCTGGAGGGGTAATGGGCAGCCAGGGCTTTGAGGAGGCAAGAAAATGCTGCCAAGCATGTGGACCATGTTTTCTGTATCTTTACTTGAATTACTTCAAAATCTCATGCTTTATAAACCATCCCATAGATGTTCTGCCTTCTGAAGGCATCAGAAGCAAAGGGACAAAGTGATGAAAGTACTGAGGAAGCTGATGAGTCAGGGAGAGCAGGTGTAGAGCTGCTACTCCCCAAAGTACTTACAAGATTTATGCTTCATCATATACATCAGGTATGTATGTGAGACAATTGTAATCTTTCCAGTGATGCCTAAATTAAAAACTGTACTGCTCCTGTAAAAATAATTATTTCTGTATCACATGTGCACAGCTACTAATCACCATCCCTGCCCATTCATTTCCCTACTGTCCTATTCCTACAGGCTGTCATCTGCATTTACTTCGCTGCTTTGGGTGTATGCTTTCTTGAGTGGCCACCCTTGGCTTTTGTGTTTTTGCAGATGTTGCAGTTCAGAGAGGTGAAAGATTCAGTAATACATAAATGGTATTTCATTTGTGAGTAGGAATATGGCATGCAGAGTCACTGGGGTAGGATGGGAAAATAAAATTTACATTTCTGTGTTTGAAGTCAAGCTTGACATGATGTGCCTTTTTGACCAGACATGTCTTTCTGGCCTAGTCTGTTCTGAATTTATATTTCTCAATATCACAGACATAATCCCAGGTATTCTATGAACCAGTCTTTTTCTTCTTTAATGTGCTGAATTTGTGTAGGATGTCCATCTTTTTATCCTCTGTTCAGACCTGAGAAGAGAGGGCATTGAAATCCCTCTTCACCAGCTAGTAAATGCCTGTTGTTGCCTTGCTGCTTGCATTGGAGCTTGAAGGTGGTTTTGCTCAGACACTTGCAGTTCTCGATGGCTTGTTAACCAGTGCAGGGACTCCTCCTGTGTGGTCATTGTCCTCTGCTTGGTCCCCTGAGGTTGGCGATAGACACAAACCACAAAGGAATGAGAAAATGGAATAATTTTTGCTTGAAAAAAATGCAGAAGTTTACCATGTTGTTCCTTTGACTGCATGCTGGAAGGAGAACAGGTGAAGTGTTGGGTGAGTGTCTGCCTGTCTGCTCTGAGCTCTAGAAAAGCCATGGGAATGGCTACATGAAACGCTCACAACTCGCTCAGGAGACAGCAATGGGGAATGACCAACACCACGGGCATTCCCTTTCCTTCCAAGTCTCATGACGAGACCCAGATGAATAGCAGAATTAATTTTTGGTCCACTTTTTCATTCTGGAGGCTAAGTTTTAGGCTGACATAAAGCATTTTGTGAAATCCTGTGCTCTAGCCCATCCTTCTGTAAATAATGGTTGCTTCTTTTATGTTTAGGTTATGAAATACATGTAATTTTTTTTACCTTATTGAAAAAATGCCATTTTAAAGGGGAAAATTAAGAATATCTCTATTGAAAAATGCCTAAATGAAATTCTTTGGTGTTTCCAAAAAATTGCTCCTGTGCTCTTTCAGAGTCATTCAGAACTGTGATCCTAACTCGCGTGTATCTTTGGTCCTTCCAGAGCTCAGGTTTTCTGTGAGTGACTTTGTTGGGAGCTGGAGGAATGGGTGTGAGGCTGCTGCAGACCTGCAGTGTTCTGTTCCATGGGGCACAGACATCCTGGGCTGAAGCACCATCAGCTGGCTGAGGAGCTGGGGAAACTCCTCACCTTCTGGTGTGCCTGCCCTGTTCCAGAGCAAAGCTTTTTAACTTTGCTTCTTGAAAGGTCAGAGGCAAGGGGGGGGTACTGCAGTGGTAGGGCTTTGCAAATACCTGATAAGACAAACGAAAGGAGAATAAAAGAGGCTGCTCCTTTTGCCAGAGTCCATTGAGCTAGATTTTATCTCTGTTTCTTCACCAGGTGCTCAAGGAACAGACTGGGAAAATGGCTTCTTGTGACTGTAAAGTACTACATTGGGACTATAATGAATTAGAGGTAGCTCTTGGCAGTGTGTTTAGCCTCTCCCCTGGTCTCTTCCTTATAGTAACCTAATGAAGATTTCCACTGTCTCCCAAATATGTATTGTCAAATAAAAATACCTCTGAGAGCCCAGCCCAGGAGGAAGAAGGGATGTGATTACCTAGTTAATAGTTGTTCTGAATGTCTTCAATTTGTGCTGCTTTCTGTCCCCAGAGCTGAGACTGAAGATGTGAGTGCTGTCTCTCTGGTTCACATGGCTGTAGTGCAGTCACAGACCTGCCCTCAAATTGCAGAGTTTGAGGCAGGTTTTAAACAGACCCCTGGATCTCTTCTTGCTTATCGCCTAGAAATTGGAGGAATTTAAAAGTACTGATTTAAGAAAACTGAGAATAATTATCCTCTGTAAAAAACTGGATGTCATTGCCTGCATCTGCATCTTAGGAGCTATCTTGGAAAGCTGTGCAGTCTCCTCTCCGGAGAGGTGCTGGAAACCCAGCTTCGCTGGTGGTGGAACCCGCAGCTGCCTGGGAGGAGGAGGCACAAGCATGCCTGTACTGAGGGAGGACGTTGAAGGAATGCTGCCCGTTTAAGAGAAATGAGCCGAGGTCAGCAGGACTAGACCTGCTGGAAGCAGTGATAAGCAGGAGCAGGGCTGGAGGGAGCTTGTGGGGCACTATGTCTTCCTTGAGCTTTATTTTCTGATCCTTAGGTAGAGATCAAAAGTGAGGAGCTTCAAGATGGTTTTGGTTCAGAACGTGAGCTCAGCTATACTGTTTTGATCATAGTTTTATTTAATTCAGGTGAGGCTATCAAGAAGGTTGTTGGCTGGATCAATACTGTATGGTGTAAATATCCTTTAAATGCTAGTATGCTCGTCTATTTAAAATCTTCAGTAATAAGATAAGGGTGACTTCTACATCATGAAAAGCATAAAATCAATGTTTAACTGTAGTCACGTGTGCCTGTAATGATCTGGCACAGCTTTTATTGCATGGACTTTGGATGTATTGTTTAGGGGAAATTGTTCAGAAATGTTACTAATAGAGATTAAGCGTGAAAGAATTTGTGCCAGTTAGGCAGCAATACACTACTTCAGTATTACTGTGTTTCTGTTTTTTCACTTACTTTGTTTTCTTATTTGCTTTTATCATACAGACTAAATATGTATTTTAAATCTTAAAGATGGGATTCTACTGTATTTAACAGACATATGTCAGCTTCTGCTCTGCTGTGAATAAAAGTTGTAGTAACAGTATACAAGTAAGGAAATTAATATTTTTAATAAAGTAGCCTGGTTTGGATTTTACTTATTGGTTTAAAAGTCCCTAAAACCCCAGAGTGTATGTATTAAAGGTCAGTAGCCAGATGGGGACTTCGTGCAGCAGCAGAATGCCAAAATACATATACTTGTGTTATTATTCTGTCTCTTTCTGATCTGGCTAGATTGTTAATACATTAGGTCGGTAGTTGTCCATTCAGTATGTCTTTCTTACTTCATCCTAAATGCCTGGCATTCCAAATCATCTGTGTGCTCACAGTATAGCTGTTCATTTGCTTTGTAAAAATTTCAGTATTTACTTCCCTCCCTCCAAAAAAAACACTAAACAAAGCAAATAGTAAAAATAATTTTTTATTCTTAAAATGTTTTGGAGAAAAAAATCAGCTAATGGCTGAAATAATTTGGATGCTCATGCTTTTTAAAAGAAACAATTTAATGAAAGTAGGTTTTGTTCATTTTCAGATGTGATGTAAAAATAAATACTAATTAAAAAACTCTGGACAGCTATGTACAGAAATACATTCTTTCATATCAGAGGAAAGAATGAAAGATTGTGAAAGATAAGCAGAATATTGATTCAGCTAGACTAAAACAGTGTCAGAAGACCAAGACGACTTCAAGGGAGTCAGAATAAGTAAAAGAGAACTTTATGATAAAAAGTCGCTTCCTCTCCACAGGTACAGCCAGTCAGTCTGGTTTTCCCCAGGCTTCTGTCAGCAGCTGTTGCCATCTCAACAGCCAGGGTGTGGCTGTTTTCATCCCACTTCCCTTTTTATGTGGTCCATGAGTTTTTCTTTATTAGCATGCCATATATTGCCTGTTGCGCTACTGGCAGCAGTAGGCTTAAATGGAAAGTTTTTAAGGAAAACTTAAGAGTTTCTGAGTTCTGCTAAGCTGTCTGGTTTAGGATAGTAGTTCCTAAATTACAAATTTTAGTTAACTGGTTAATTTCAGGAATCTTTCTGTTTTATAAAGGTGACTTTGCTTTGGGAAGGCTCTTAACTGGATTTGGGAAGGTTACAGCTGAAGCAGTAACCCAGTGCTGCTGGAGTGGCTCACCTGCTTAGCTGAGCAAATCCTTGCCCAAACCACCCAGGAAAGAGAAGGATGCTTGCTTTTTGCAGCCTTCCAGCCGCCATCTCCTCTTCTTCATTCCCTCCCCTTAGGCTTCTTGGAGTCCTCCCGTTTCCCTGTCCTCTCCCACCGAGGGACTGGAGCAGCCAGATTGTCACAGAACAGGTTTGAAACAAGTTGGCAAACTTTACACAGGTTGAATTACAGGAGGAGGAGAAGCATTTCTAGTGCACATTCTTCTCACAGTGAAGTGAATTAGAGCATTGACCTCTAGAGTTCACCTCGCAGGAAGAAATGTGGCATCTTATACATGTTTATGTCATTGGACAGTAAATTGAATAAATGACCCTGGGAGTCAGGAAAGCCACTTTGTCTTCCTGTGGTGTTATCTTTATTTGATATCCATACAGGTGGTTTGTTCTGTATGTAACAGAACATAGTCTGGAGTCCTTTAGGCAGTCATAGTAAACATTGCAGTACAGATTATGTTAGGTTTTCAAACCTTTGTAAAACCCACAAATGCTCTGAGTTTGAAACCAGTGAGCCAGCTGCGAAGTGTTTGATCAGTCTGGAGTGTGAAATGGCCAAATACTGGGGAAGGCTGCACCAAAGGGGACCTTCAGTCTTGGCAGGGAACAGTTCAGGAGACAAGCTTGGGTGAGCTGCTTATCAGATCATGACAGCCCATTAGCAAAAGGAGGGAAAGGTCTCCCAAGGAAGGTGGAAAAAAATCAGTGTGCATTAGTTTTATGTATTTCTCTTAACATTTACTGTTTGTGAACATGTAAACCTTCAGTATTTTGCATTTTTAATGTCTGTTCTATTTACTGTTAAATTATTACATGTCAAAATCTAACTTTTTTTTTTTTTTGTCAAGGGTGTTGTTTGTTATCCTGGTACAGTTTTGTAGATCTCAATAAAACAGAAGGCCCTGTAACTTTCTGTCCGGTTATGTAATTTACAGCTGCAGTTGATTCAGAGATGCATGAGAAGGGATAGAGTTCAGGTTTAGAAATCTGGTTTAAATGCTTGATTTAAAAAACACAACTGTTTTTCCAACTAGAAAATAATGGCCTACAAATATAAAATACAGTCATTTAGGCTACTTACTGATGTTTATGGAGATCATTTTGCACAGTGCTTGATGTGGTTGGGTATGATTCAGTAAAACAAGCTCATAAAATTACACTCGGCTCCCAGACCAAAGCTTGTCTCCTACAGATTCCACATGTGAAGGCAGCCGATGCTCTCATAGGAACTGTACTCTTCATCCCGACCCACTCAGGCTTGGACCTAAATATTCCCTCTGGTGTTGCCTTTGGGTCTGGTGATCGTTAGTCAGAGCCAGCACACCCCAGAATGGTTGAAGGGAACCAAGCACCCTGTTCCAGTGGTATTTTTCTTGAAGCAAGTAATTTGCATTTGTTTTCCTCTGGAATTAGAATTTACGAAGATGCAGGATAATCTCCCTCTATTTGTAGTTTGGCTGCTGAAAACCAACCCAAAATCCCTTAATCAACATCTTTCTTGCCATTAGCACTATAGGAAAGCAGCTATGTTTTCACAGTCAAGGAGCAAGGAACAGATGAGCTGCTAGGTTTGTGTTTGTGCAGTACTTCAACATTTCCATCTTTATCGATGCATCAGAATCTTTCTAGTGAGCTGTATGAACAGAACTATGAGACCGAGGAATGTGTTGTATCATGTCAGTGTAGCTGGGCAGAGCAAAGCTTAACTGAACAAAGCAAGGTCTGTAGCAATTGGATGCTTATGTGTACAAGAATTAAGCCATTTAACTTACTGAGTCTGTACTAGTATTTACCTCCTAGAGAGTTCACCAGATTGGAACTTAGAAAAAGGAAGAAGAGTCAAAAGAGAAAAAGAAAACCCTACAGTATTTTCTAAGTTCCTGCAACTTTCTGACATGTTATTTTGTTCTGGGAGCTCTCAGCTGGCCAGTCATACATACCTAGGCTTGAGGGTACACTGTTTTGCTGCAGACTGTAAAATTAGAAATAGACTACAGTAAAGGCTCTTATCTATTTTCTAGCTGTATTTATTTCTATAATAGTAAAATTTTCTTATGACGTATGCAGTTACATTCTATATATGAAACAGCGTGGGATGGAAGACCCAAAAGATAAGATATTTGAAGCTTGTGTATGAATCTTGATGTGTTTAAGAGCATTAATGGATATTTTCTGACTGCAAAGAATGTAGCCTCAGCTCATGAAAGTGGTGATGAAACATCAACTACATCTTTATAAGAAACAGTGCAGTTTTCAAAGCTTTTAAATGGAGAGCAGCACACTTCCCTATGGGTGAAGCATAACATCCTGAAGTAAACTAATCAGCAGAAAATAGTGGTAATATTCACAGTAATTCCCTGGGTTACTGGTGTTTAACCTTTTAGAGGTTGCCCTCCTGGAGATCCATGGCACTCAGATTTAAGGTCTGTTGGGTCCAACAGCTAAACCTAAACCAGAATACTCTTTCATTATCTTTCCCTATTGAAGCACTGCAGGCAAATATATTCCAGAGGATGTCTCCAGCATGATCTTGTTATGCTGAACATGCTGTCAGCTTTTGATAGAGATTCATTGACTAATTCCCTGCTTCTCAATCGAATCTGATCATCCTCTCCTATCTGATTCATCATATTTTTAGAAATTTGTTTATCAGATCGCTGCTACCTGTGCCTGATTGCTTTTAAATGGACACCCGCTGACCTGCGGCTCTTACCTTCAGAAGCTACGCTTTGCTTTTTGAAGTGCACTCATCTTTACAAAGGCTTTGGAGTTAATGTGCTGTGCAGCAAGCAAAATAATCTTGCATTCATCCAGCTCGTCTCAGTGGACAAGTTTATGGCCAGGCAGTACTGTCCCCTCACCTGCTGGGAAGGAGTAACCCTGACAGCTGGAATATTACCATGTCAAAACCTGGTTGGTAATATGAACAGAGAAAAGCAAGAACGTGGTGCTTTGATCTTCACTATAATCAGTCCATGTGTACTGCCAGAAGCATAATTGTTTTTATTTAGCAAGCTCGTCTGGAGAGTATTACAGAACTCAACACAAGGCAGCTACAAAATCCTTGTAATTTTATCAAGCACATTAGACTAATGATGGCAAAAGCCGCCATTTCCAGCAGTAGATCCTGCCACAGGCACATATGAATAAAATAGTCCACCTTTTCCTAAAATGATCCCACATTTGAAGTCTTTTTCAATATAGTCAGAACTCTTATCTCCGGATTACTCAACAGCTATGTGACTTAATAGCTAGAGAGTGGTTCTGAATGATGAATGAATGTTTTGTTTAAAATTCAGTGGCTTGTTTTGTTTTTTTAACGTAGAAGCTTCTCTGGTGTACTTCTCTGCTTGGACTTCACCAGAGGTTTTGTAGAATAATTTTGTCTTCAAAGAAATCTGCATTGTAATCTTGATAGTAATTGTGAACATTAACTTTCATCCTGACTGTGGAGATGGCATGATGGGGAAGTAAAGGTACAGCAATAAGCTGGAATGGAAAGCAAGAAGGAGAAGGAACTAGGCTGTAGATTGAGAAGCTATAGGGAAGGGTAAGGCTAGGCTAATGGGAACGGGGGTGTAGCAAGGGACCTGACAGCTCTTCTGTTGGGAGTTTGCAAGGATTGGAGCAAGTGAGGGAAATGAGGCTCCTGTGCTTCTGTCTGGTCCTCTCAGCGTCAGGGGAAGCCTTATCTCTGCACGGGCAAGTGACAGGGTGCCTGTCATCATACACGTGGCTGTGACTATGGTTAGACATCCTTCTGCCTGGCCTCTGAGCGTTGGCACTGGTGAGAAAAGCAGTGGCGATGTCTGTCAAGAACAGGGCACTTCACAGTGTCTTCAGCCACTGGAAGCATCTCCATGCCTGCTAGGTTTGGGGATTTTTTCCATTTAGCAGAAGACATCCCACTGAGATGTCATCCTCATATAGATTTCCTGCATTCTTAAAACCATTTCTGTGCTGTGGGTAGGTGACTTGCTGTACTGCTTAAAGACTTAATATGGTCAGTTATTTTAATCTGCTAATAAAAGTATTTATGTGAATTGATACTTTTCTCTCAAAGACCTACTGGCATTTAGAAGCTGGTACTTCTGTATTTCAGTAATAAATAATAATAATAATAATAATGATGAAAAAATCACAGGTCAACCTATGTAAAATTATGACCGGCTTTAAAATTGAAATTTTAGAAGAGTGTAGGTATTGTGCTTTATGTAACATAGTATCCTTGGTCACTGAGGTCATCTGTGTTTTAAAATCTGGTGATTTCTTTGGTAAAACTAGTCAAGCTCCCTTTCCAAAGTAGTTGGTTTCTCTGCTCCTCATAGCCCCTTATAAGGAACATGCTGCTTTGTTTGTGACCTGAAAATACTGCAACACCAGAATTGTTAATGGTTATGATTGCTATCTAGGTATTCATATTTGTGCCACACTGCATCCATGATCTCCCTAGCCTGTTGTATGTAAGTCTTTATTCCCTTCACTAAGGTGTCTTAACCTTGCTGAAGGAGGGGCTAGGGCCCTCTTCTCACCACTGCAAAGTGGTGATGCCCCTCCTGTTCCTCAGGAAAGTGGCAGAATAGGAAACAAGTCTGCTGTTTGCAGAAGGTAAAGGAGGATGGGTGGGGAAGGATGCAAAGGGGATGCACAGGGGGAAGTCCCACAGGGAGGGGAGAGCTGCCTGGGGATGAAACGAGAGGGGGGAGGGATCTCTGCTCCTGTGCTCATCTTCCCCCGTACCTCACTGATGCTGCATCCAAACGTCATGCCAGGGCTGGAGATGCCTTCCCTAAGAGCTCACAGATTTCCAGCATCAGGCAGGGGAATGCTTTTCTCTGGTGTTAACCATGTTGTTTTGTTTACTTTAGATACACTTTATACTGCTGTTCAGTCGGCAGGGGAAATTAAGGCTTCAGAAATGGTATACGACGCTACCTGATAAAGAGAAGAAAAAGATCATTCGAGAAATTGTTCAGATTATTTTATCTCGCAATCAAAAAACAAGTAGTTTTGTTGACTGGAAAGACCTCAAGCTTGTTTACAAAAGGTGTGAGTAATTTTATTAGAACATGTAATTACTATTCATATAAATAACACGTGCTAGAAGAGGAAAAATAAAGGCTTACTGTAAGAAAAATAGCAAACAAAACACTAAGTGCTAGACTAAGCTAGTAGGATTGCCACATCCGTAGTCTGACTGTGTATAACAGCACAGTGTCCCTGGATAAATTGGCAGGGTAAATTATGGGAGAAAAATACTTTTGCAGTCTGTCAAATGAGAAAAATGGGAGTAACCTAATAAGTATTAGTGGCTGAAATTCTGTTAGAAAGCTTTAGGCTTCACTGCTCCTTCTAATTCCCCAAGGTAGCCTGCTGAGATGTGTGCTGGGCTTTATCAGGCTCTTCGGGAGGTTGCAGGAACTGTTCTAGGGCATGTTCAACACTGTCAAATTTTGTCTTTGAAATATTTGTTGCTCTGGAAAGTTTTCATTCCCATTTCCTTTTCTAAACAAATCACTGGTCCCCAGTTACACTATGCTTAGCATTAACTGCCTGTTAATTCTTGTAAAGTTGTGGCAAACAAAAGTAGCCTTAATGTAGAGCATACTGTACAAATTAAGCAGCATCTCCCATATAGCAAAAACTGAGTTCCATGCTGTGAAGGGCTGGATGTAAACATCTGACTAGCTGGGCCTCTAGCTACAGCACCAGAGAATTGAAGTAGATCATTACACCCATCTTGGGTTGATTTAAACATGAAGTTTTGCTGAAAGTTAGTTATGAAGACTGTTTCGTCCCAAGCAGTTTCATGCTTTCTGGACCTATGTAAAACACTGTCATTTGATAACCAGTAGGCTTGCTGAGTTGTAAATCCTTCCACCTTTATTTTTTAATAAAGAGCAGTAACTCATTCTATAGTTTACTTAACCCCACTTACTGTAGTGTTATTGCAGCAGGTGAGTGAGATCTTAAAGTACTACTGATTTACTGTTTTAAGACCAGTGTTGGAGGTATCCCACTTTGCCAAGGGTAGACTTTGTTTTTCTAACTAAATTAATGATTTATTTAAATTACCTATCTTTTAAGTGTTCTCTGGGACACTGTAAGAATAAAAACAAAAAAAAAATTAGAGACCAGATAGACATTAACTGTCATTTGCATAATTTATAAGAGACAAGCAGAGCACTGAGGATCCAGCTGGTCACTCTTATGTTTTTGCCTTTGTTTCCCTAGGTATGCTAGTTTGTATTTCTGTTGTGCAATAGAAGACCAGGATAACGAACTCCTGACACTAGAGGTCGTTCATCGATACGTAGAGCTTCTGGACAGATACTTTGGAAATGTAGGTTTCACTTTCTTCCATGAACCACGTTCCTGGCTATTTGATAATCAGTTATCTGAAGCTGTTTTGCTTCATGTTTCCATTTGTGCTACTTACCCTGTAGACTCTCTCAATCCAGAGTGAAATTATTTTTTTTTATTATTTTATAGAATAGTGCCGAAAATATCATAAGATTATTTTTCCATCCTTTCTTCCCACTGCCCCCCAATTAATCTTGATGCTTTGTATGTCTGTCTTGGAATAGAATTTGAGGGGAAAGCTTGAGGAAAACTACTTAGGAAAACCCTGGATGACAGTAATTTAATTCTCTCTCCTGATTATCTTCAGATACACTGGTTTTGTTTGTTTCATAATATTGTGTAATAATTAAGAGGAATAATATAATATAAAGAGGAAAAAGGTGGTACTGTTTTTTTGAAAGAAAGACCTGAAGAAGGTCCAAATAAGTCTTTCAGTAAGTGTTTAAAGACTACAAGAGACCCATCTTTTTCTATGAATATTTTTTAAATTATTCCCCCCATCTTAATTAATGTCTTATTTAAATCACTGTGCCATGACTCATGTTTGTACTGCCTCAAAACTAAAAAGCAGTTGGTGACTGTAAGGTCACTAGGACAAGGAATTTGTCTTGCTCAGTGAAACTGCACGAATGTATGTAACCCATATTACAAGTGCTACATAAGACTATTGTAAAGTTAGTAGGCTAGGAAGTCAGCTTTGTTCTCTGAGAACCAGTATGAATGTAGTGTATTAGATAAAACAAGTGGAATATCTTTGCTGTAAGTTTAGGCTATTATGTGAACAGAGTATGTGCAGAAGTTGCAATATTACATAATATGCAGTATCTTTCTTCACCCTGCTACCTGCCACAAGAGTGCATATATTGAATGCATTTGATCATCTTCACAAATTTGGCCCAGTAGTGCTTATAATGCTGTAGATGTTATTTAAATGTGGGGTGTCCTTTTCTTCTGGCAGGTGTGCGAGCTGGATATTATCTTTAATTTTGAAAAAGCTTATTTTATTCTTGATGAGTTTATAATTGGTGGAGAAGTACAAGAAACTTCAAAGAGGTCTGCAGTGAAAGCCATAGAAGACTCTGACATGTTGCAGGAGGTAAGGCAGAAGAAGACAAGAGGCAAACACCTCATCTTCCTACATGTTTCTTGTAGGACAGGAGCTTAAAATACAGCTAAGTGCTTCTGGTACTTAATTATCGAAATGTGTCTTATGTTCAGTTTCCACAGGTACAACAGTGCAGTTAAGGTAGCAGTCACATGCTAGAGTTTCTTGGATATTATGTTAAGAAATAGTTTAAGACATATCTAAGATATTTATATAAGAATATAATCTAAGATTTTATGTATACATGTATATATATAAATACAGAAAAAAACCTCTTTCACTAATGCCTTAGAAACAGATGACCTACTATTAACATTTAAAATTGGAAAGAGTACGTGCTGGCAAACCTCCACATTCATTCATAAACACCTGTGTAGTTTGTTTTTCTGAAGGGCACAGATATGTAACCTTTATTCAGAGCCCTGCAGGAATTCTGTCCTGTAACTTGTACCATTGAGCCAGGAATAGCAAAAGCAGTCGGATGTGATGGATTTACTTCATTTTTTTTTCTAGGTGGTGAAGGATCCATTGTAATACTGAAGGAAACAGCACACTGGTAGAACTAGTTAGGGACACACTGTGCAAGTCGAACAGTTTTTCACAGTTGTCTGGCATTTGCACATGAAACTAAGCCAGCTATGTAAAAAGACCAGCTAGATATGATTAATTTAGCCACAACAGTGGTATGTCGTGATTTGAAGATCAGATTCTAAAATGCTGTTAAATGTTTTTAAAGCAGAATTATTTCTACATTTTAATGTGATCTAATTCCACGTGTACCTACAAGGGTCTTCAAAGAGGACAAGAGGGTTTGTTTGAATATCACTGTACCACTCCGTAATGCATCAGTTGTTTCTCTCTTTTTATTTTTTCTTCCAGACAGTGGAAGAGTACATGAACAAGCCTGCATTTTAACGTTAAAACTACCTGGAGAGAGAACTGCTGTATGCACCTGTAAAATGCGCTTCCTGAAATTGCTTCCCAATGTGCCAGATCCTCAGAGAGATACCAAAAACCAATAACTAAAGGGGTTTGTTTGTATAATGGTGAAGATGAAGGTCAGCTAATGTAGCACAGGGTTTAACAATTCTGTACTAGCATTACTCTGCATATGAGTTTCTCAGAGTTGTTATTACCCTTGATCAAGTTTCTCTCCTTGCTGGACTAAACACTTGTTTTGTACCATGTCTTTTAGCTACGGGTTTTGTCATCATAAAATGTTACTCTAACAGTACTTTGAAGAGGTATTTTTACTAGTTTTGGTCCACTGCTGACCGTATGACTCTACTTTTGTACAAATGTCCATTATTTTTAATGTAATGATTATTCTGCTCTAATAATAATCTTTTTTCTAAAAGCCAAATTTTTGTGGGCCCTGATTTCACAAGGTTGTTTTCTTGAAAAGATTAACCCAGCTAGTATAGGAAGAAATATGCTCCTCTTGGACCAGCCCCTTTCTTTTACTATCTTCCTCCTATTTTCTGCTCTGGTCTGCTAATAAAACTGCTCCAAGTGCTACTAGAGCACACTCCACACCTCCATTTAATCTGGAAGACTGTTCTGACTCAAGGTAGACTTCTCCCAGGTTTAATGAATCCTTTTTGCTGCTGCATAGGGATGGCCTGTTTCTGTCTTTCTCCTCATTTTCCTATCCCCTTCCTAGATCCTGGATAAAAGCTTCAAGGAAGTGTGCAGCTTGAGAGCAGGAGATATCCTAAGGAGAGGAAATTAATCTTTAGGATTTTGGGGTGAAGATCATCTTGTATATCTTTTGGTATCCACCAATAACTGCCTTTCCCAGTAGAGTTTTCCAGTCCCAAATTCACACATCTATTGGAATGATCAGCTTCCTGGTAGTTGAACATGGCCTATTTTTGTGGAAATTGGACAATTTAACCTTTATAACTTTGCAAGCTGCACAAAGGGGAAAAGGGTGAAATAGTAGAAGAAAGAAGAAGAATCAGTTGGGCTGTGCATCTTACTATGTGTCATAAAACACTGTAGCTGTGTGGGGAGCAAGGTGTGTTAGCTTGCCTGTCTTTCTTGTCAGAGCAATTTGGACTCTATAAACTGATTGAACTGGCTTCCTTAGATTATTTACTCTTTTAACAGAATTCAGAGCTCAGAGAAATTATCTTTATCTTAGCCCATAACTCATAGCTAGATGTTTTGTGTCTGTCAAATCATGACATTATCGTATACAAAAAATTAGGTAAGTTATCAGACAAATATGCCAGAATGATCTGAACGTTCATTCGCATTTCCCTTCAACATATATTTTCTTTGATTTCTGGAATGTACAGCCAGTATTTTCCTTCAGGGATTTTTCTAATCTTTAAATGCCTGCATGCCTAGTGTTTTTTTCATTGCTCCTTCTTTCCCAGTCTGTTTTTATCTCCCTGGGGAGGGATTTGGGTTTGGGTTTTTTTTTTTTTGGAGGGTGGGAGCACTTTGACACAACATGACAACTTTGCTAATTGTCAACCCACTTTTCTGCTTGTGTTATCTAGTCTGTTAGTAAAACTGTGACAAGCTGGTTCATAGCGTCATGCTGCTCTTTTTATAATTACTTTATCCATCTGTTTTCTCTGTATTGATGTCAAAGGCATACTTTAAGCATTGGAAAAATAGTGAAATTGCTGAAGGGCTTTTAATAGCTCTGAAGACGTTCAATTTAATAGTAAATTAATGAAATTGTATGAGTTGTATATTATTTTCTCATGGTTTGAAATGAAGTTTTTTAAAGTAGAGTGTTTAATTGATTAAGAATCCACTTCAGAATGTGCAAAGAGGCTCTTTCCGCTCTTTACTTCTACAAGTGACTTCTATTCAGTGAAATCATCAGTAGTTTCATTTGCATTTACTCTTTTTTTGAAGCCATGCTGTGATTCTCTGACTCTTGTAACTGTCATGTTGCTTGAATTCTAGAGTATATCAAAATAGGAGTTCCAAAAAGATTTCTTGGTATGAATAAGGGTCTCATAAGCCTGTTTTTTAAGTCATTGTAAGAAGACCTGTAGGACTTCTTTCTCATTTCAAATGAAGAATAATTCCTTATGGAAATAATAATACATTAGCTAGGGGTGCTTATGCCAGCCATATAAATACAGCATCTGAAATAAATAGCATTGCCAAACAGATGTATCCAGTGTCAACTTGAGAAGTGTGAAGCAGTTAGTAGGGTTTCTTTGCCCTAGTGCAAAGGGTCATTGGAATATGGTGTGCACAACTGCCTTTGTGCTACAGAGTTGGATGGAAGGTATGTGTTAAGCACTCTAAAGAACTGCTAAATTTTTTTTGCTCTCTAAGAAACATCTACAGATTGCTGTTGCTTTGCCTATAAAATGGGCTGCTCAGAGTAGGCAGATGAGCATTACTTAACCTGACTTTTGCAAGTGTCAGTTTGTGTGTATAGCATACTTAAGAACACATTGGTGTGAAACATAAAACTTTATAATTTTTACAGCCTTCACTGAGAAAGGGGTCACTCACTTGAGTGGTGTTATAATGCCATTCAGTTCAACCCAACTCTTTCTCCAAGCCCAAATGAAACCCAGTTACTGTCGGGTTGCCTTTAGGTCACTGTTTCAAAATGCCTGTGCCTCCATCTTTGTGGAACTCCACTACCATCAACAGGACTCTACATAGATTAGTGCACTGTGGAGTAAAGCTCATCAGAAGACATATGTCTCTCTCAATATCTTATTTCTTTGATTTTTCTTAAAACATGAGATACATATTTCATATATGCACAAATCTCTCTGAAGTGTTGCACTTTTCATTTGTTAACTGTTGATGATTGTCCTTCCAATCTGCCTATTCTATGAAATGCTTAAAGTTTTCTGAGATTAATTTATGAATTTATTATCAAAGAAAGTATTAGAAAGCAGGTTCCTTAACAGTTTTCCCAATCTCAACTCTCACCTTGCTGACAAGTCTCAAGCACCGTATGTTCTAGTTTGCAGAACTGCATTTACTAAAATGACCATTAATCATGGTCATGTTGCTAGCCCAGATTCCCTTCCTTGCTTTTGCCAGCTGCATCTAACAGAAAGCTTCTTGATTTTCTTACTAGCGTCTCTGCCTGGAGGATCTTACAGTGATCCTACTGCTTACCAGTTCTGACAGGGCTGGTTTTCTGTCATGCCATTATTTACAGCTCATTAGTTGTGACATCTTTGAACATATCATAGCAATTAAAAAGAGACAGACATTAGACTGGGATAAAAATAAGTGTAATAATGTCAAAAGGAATACTATAAAAGGATGACAAATAATCATGAGTGAGAGGTAAGAGTGGCAGGATCTCACAGGATTAATGAATTCTTATAATTTGTTTCTTTTTACATTATGCATTTCTGAGTGTTGTGGTTCCTTAAAAGGTGTCAACTCTTACAAATAACTGTAGGAAAATTGACATTTAGGTTACCCCTATCAGCTTTTGTTTAACAAAAACCCACTGAAAGTGAATCTTCAACACCTTCCCCTAGCTGCTCCTACAAAAAAAAAACCCACCAAACTGTGCTTTTAGAAACCCAGGTGGGAAACTTACCGTTAATTTTAGGTGTGGTTCTGTGTCTGAATTTATGTTCAACAGAGTAATGCTGTACTTATGAAAGGGTGAATTACTATTTTTTTCATTTATTTTACAGTCCTTTCAATAGATAACACATTTCTTATCCTCTGCTTAGCACTGTGCTGTGTTGGAGTAACACAGCATGCAGTAACAGTACATCAGGGGTCGGGAGGGATTGCTTTATAAGGTAACATTAGAAGGGTTTTAACAGTGTGAGTGAGGCTTTCAAAGATACCCAGAGATGTTCAATCAACAGTCCCCTCAAAATAACAAGGCTCAATACATTTCACAGAGAGAGAAAACTCCTATCCATGCCTGTCCATGATCTACTCCACTGAAAATGCGTTTGAAAATCTTTATTAGCTCCAGCGTGAGGGGGATGTTGCTCTCACCCTGCATAAAATGACTAAATCCAAAGGTCTCAATTCTGCAGTTAATGAAAATCCCACCATAGGGATTAACTTTATCTGATGCCTTTATGAGCATGAAGTCTGCGTCATCATCTTACATCATTATATTTTTGTTTTAGATGGCTGCCAAGAACTTGTGAGCTCAGACCAGGTAAAAGCATCATTCTGGGGAATTTGACGACATTCCTACTGAATTCGATAGCCTGCGTGTTCCTTAGCAAGATCATAGTACAAATAAAATGCTGCTGTTGGTTTAAATGTCTATTAGGATTGTTCAGGGATTTTTTTTCATAAAGATAGCTGGTCTAGGCTGAAGTATAGTAGTAAAAGCGTTTATAGCAGAAATAACAGGCTGTGCTGCAGACTTAATGTTTGCTGTCATGGAAACCTGTTGCCTTGGAACATGACTAATGAGACCCAGGTAAGGGAAGGGAAGAAGCGATTCTTGAAGTTATTCTTCAGCAAACCCTAAGGAAGACCAGCAATGCACATTATCATAAATTATAGTTGTTTCACGTTCTGTTGTCTTTTTATTTACTTATTTAACAGCTCTTGTAACCACATTCATACAAAGAATGCTATAAAATAGTTCCAAGCTCATTATTTGGTCATCTAGAAATAAATAGCATTCCTCTGCCAGTAGACTACAAAATTTGTCCAACTTTTATGGAAGGGACACACTGAGAACAAACTTGTGGCTGGTATGGAATGCCCCAGTAAGCCAGGGGATAGTTAGCAGTTTAGCTGAGGATTTTTGCCTTTGGTCATAGTTGTATACTTTAAAGACAGTCTAGGTGTATAAGGTAGGGAACATTTCTGTGTACATATCCATATGAAAAAGTCTGGTTACCCCTGTTTATCAGTGTGGCAAGTTTGCTGCTTTCTAATGCTGAAAGGAAACTTGACAGGGGGAACATACAGAAGGTATCTTAAAGTTTACCCTTCTGTCATCTCCTTTTAAAATTCCACTGAGAATTCTTCTCTCTTCTGGAGCTTCCTGCTCCAAACCCAATATGTATTACTACACACCAGATTTTGCAATGGAGAATAGAGCGCTGATGGTTTTTTCCTGCGAAGGTGAATTTGATGTGTCTGTTGTAAAAAAACAATGCTGAATGTAGAATACCTAGTTACACAGGGTGACAAATTCATTACAGCTTGCTGTGGATTTCAGCTGCTCTCTGGACCTGGATCTTGTTGCATGAATAAATTGTCAGCAGCTGTGTAAGTATCCCTACCTCATGGAGATCGTGATTCAAAGTCCTTCTGGAAGCAAACAGTGAGGAGTCAGCCTTAGCTGAGCAGAGCCAACAATGACAAATCACAGAGGAACATATTCACAGAAGTTTCAGGTGAAAGAATATGGGTTTTTTTATTTCTCAAGAGGGCTTGTATGTGGTCCTAGGTGAGTATTATGCTGCATAACAGCTCTGAAACAACAGTCTGACAGTGTGGCAAGAAGGAAATACTCTGGGAAAAAGAACAAAGAACTGGCTGGGTTTGTAAGCTGACAGCTGCATTTGGGGTGAAGGAGTATTGTTTTTCTGGTGTCTGTTAGTGACAAGGTGGTCCTTGTTCTTGGATGAAAACCTGGCTTGGGTAATCAGTTCTTGTTTGGCAAGGACTGACACAGTGTTATGTTGGCAATGGCAATGTTCTGCTGGCAAAAAAGGTACTGCAGAGGGCAATGAAATGTTATAAATTGTTTTTAAATACCATAATAAAACATTGATTCATTCTGGTTGGGTTACTATGAGGAAACCACAACGTTTAGCATGACAGTTCTGTCTGAATGATGATGAAAATAATTACTATGTCAAAAATGTTATGTTGTAATGTATACTCTTAGCATTTTAATGTTTAAGCCTAGTGTAAGAGTGGAAAGACTAGGACCTCAAGAAATCCTGTTCATCCTTCAGTCCCAGGCAGGATCAGCTGTACTTAAATCATACCTGAGTTTTGTTTTTCTTTCTTCTTCAAATCAGCCTGTGGTGGAGATCCCAAAATCTTTTTGGACAGTCTGCCCTGAAACTAAACTCCCCTTTAGTTGAAATGCTCTTCCTAATGCCAGGTCCTTCACTGCAACCCAAGTCCAGCACCACCTGTGATATCTCAGGCATAGGTATAGAAATACCTTTATTACATTTCTCTTTGCAGCAGCCTTTTAAGGGGTTCTCTGTTTCGCTGTCTAACTCCCAGGTAATGCTTAGGGAGTGATGGAGTACACACAGTGCTGTGCCTTCAGTGGGGGGGTATTGTACAGTTTTAACCTTGATTCTGTTGTGTGAACCATGTTCAGTTGTGGCTCACTGGTAGCTGGTCAGAAAATTTAAATATCAACTAAATTGAGGAAAACACAGAAGCACGATTCCTTTCTTCTCCTGTTTTCTTTCATTCTGTAACTGCTCATAACAACTGTGCATGAGGCCTGGAATCAGTCAGTTCTTTGGGGTGACCTTTGTTACAAGTGTGTAAGAAAGCTCAGACTGCTTTAACACGGCTACCTGCATTTTTGAGGCTTAAATTAATCCCCCCGCCTTGCTGGCCCAGCACTGGCGAAACAGCTGTTTCTTTTCTCATGGAAAAGGGGCGTTCTCTTCACTGTTACAACTCGAGTCATGCTTTAAGATAAAATTAATAAGAAATAAAATTTTGTTTAATTCTAATAGGTGAGGGCTGTGGG